AAAACAATGAATTTAACGAACACAACAAATAACTCTGCCATTCACAATACACCCAATAATGATGAGGGATAAACAACAACAACACTTCCTCCTGAACTCACAAACAACAAGAAGGGTGATGCAGACAGAAGCAGCAGTATCAGCAGTTCTGTGTGGGTACGTGTACCACTACTGATTGTGGTTGTGTTGGTCTCCGCTACTGTGTACTGAACAGTGGGACTATTCTGAGAGCAAATAATAATAATGGTTAAACTAACATAATTATAATTGCGTACATCCCTCATGGGTGAATGAATTAATAATCTGTTTACCAGCTTTCTTTTTAATTCGAATATCTTTTCTTTTACTTTTGTGTGTGTGTTCTTTTTCTAATAATTCCATTACTTGCTTTTCCCGTTGTGTGTGTGTGTGCAGAAAACTGGGCTGTTCTGCTCACTGACGGTATACATCTCTTGCTAGTACACAAAGATGTGTGTGTGTGCAGTAATTTAATATACATAAACTAGAGCCATGGGGTATTGTGTGTTTTATTGGACACTCTCTCTCTCTGTGCACCTGGGCTTGCACTGCGGTGATGAACTGTTTTTTGCAGTGGGAAGGAAAAGAAATAATAATAACAGATGAATTTATATTTATAATTGCGTATATACACACATATATGGACTTACACCCATAGTTGGTGTATAATTCTATGTTTACTGGGTACATTGGGCTCAATGGTTAATATCTGTTTTGTTTGCTTGTGGTTTGCTGGGTCATTCTGTGCTTTTGCCCTGTACGGTTTTTGGTAATCTGTTTTATAAGAGCAAAGAAAAAATAGTAGTTAATACAATTTGTATTCGTAATTGCTTGAACACACCATCATACCCAGTGGTCTGTAATTTATTTTTGTGCGGTTGGTCCTGTTCTTAATTTGTGTTTTTGTTCACGTTATCTTTGCTTGGGCGCTGTGTGCTTTCTCCTGCATTGTTGTGTATTGGATAGTTTTCTGGGGAGAAAAAATAATAAGGAATACATAAGTATATTTGTAATTGTGCTTGGTCCTACAGGAAGAGGCATTCTGACTTTATTGCTCTGCTTTACTCTTCTGATGGTCGTTCTCTTTAATTTCTTTTTTTTCTTTTG